CCCCTGCTTGTGGGTGAGCCTGCTGATTTCTGTCCTGGCCGGGCCTCCCAATGGAGCTTGTCCCCCCGCCACCCCCCACCGAGTCTTCATTCTCCATGACGTGTCAGCAGCATTTCATATTGCCGATCACTCTCTTTTTCTAGATCCACTTTTCCCCACTTCCGTCCAGACATCAATCCTGGTTTTCCTTTGATCTCATTGGAAGCTCCTGTTCAGTTTTCTGGCACATTCCTCTTCTTCTGCCTTACCTCTCGCCCTGGAGCCCTGTCCTTCCACCTTGGAAGCTGGTGCCGGGTTTCCTCCGGACTTCCCCCTTCGCTGCACCTCATGCACCTTTTCCTTTTCCTGGTTAAGCTTTGTATCCTTTCTCTGTAACAAGTCTTTGCCGTGATGCTGGTTATATGCTGAGTGCTGTGCGTCCTAGGGATTCACTGAGTGGTACTGTGAGTGAGTCATTTTCTGTTCTGGGCGAGAGAACGACGTACCTTCATCTTGGCTGTCCAACAAGTGTGGCATATTACAATTTTCCAATGTATCTGGAGTGCGTGCTGAAAATACAGGGCATTTACTAAATACTGTTACTTTCCTCTCAAGTAAAAACTCCAGTGAAAGTGTGTGAAAGTGTGTGAAAGTGTTTATTATTACACGTTTTGAATACTTGTTGCCAGATTCGAAGCTCAGTCATCTGACAACTTGTATGGTTATACAGTGCTCTTAGTAATAACAAGTGATACAGATGTTTTCCAGAAACCCTTGCGTGTATATTAAAACTCATTATGAGTTTATCTGCGATGTGTCTTTCTTTCACTTTCTTTAATATCTTGCCCATATCTGACTCATTTCTTTTTTAGCATAAAAAGAGGGTCTGGAATGGAGTTTTCCTTCTTTCTATCTTTTTTATTTCATGTAGTTTGTTTCTTTAAACTTGTCATTTTGAAATAATTTTATACTCACATAGAAGTTGCAAAAATAGAGGCTTCTTAATACTGATTATCAAAACCATTAAATTCACATCAGTACAATATAATACACATCTTATTTCAATTTCACCATGTTTTACATCACATGCATTTTCCTTTTTGAAATATAGTTCTAAGAAATTAAAATTTATCCCATGAAACTATCACCAGTGCCCTGACTGGTGTGCCTCTGTTGGTTGAGTGTTGTCCTGCAAAGCGAAAGGTTACCAGTTCGATTCCCGGTCAGGACACATGCCTGGGCTGTGGGCAGGTTCCCGGTTGAGGGCATGCCAAAGGTGGCTGATCAGTGTTTGGAGTCCCTCCCTCTCTTTTTCCCTCCCTTCCCTTCTCTCTAAAAATAAATAAATAAAATCTTTAAAAAAAGGGAGAAACCATCACCATAGTCGGGTCATGGAACTTTCCCATCATTCCGAAGAAATTTCCCTGTACTAGCCCCTTAAAGTCACACCCTCCCTTAACCCTGCAACCAGTGGCCTGTTCTCCATCAGTTCAATTTTGTTGTTTTGAAAGTGTTATAGAAATGGGATTATTTAATATGTGGCCTTTTGGGATTGGGTGTGTTTTTTTTCACTCAACATCGTGTCCTTTAAGACCCATCCAAGTTGTTGTTACTTTGACTTTAAAAACTGCCGAGTTTTATTCCATGGTGCGGATGTATCATAGTTCGTTTAGCCATTCACACGTTGAAGGCCTTTTTGTTTTTTTCATCATTGTAGGTTTTAAAAACAATCATTAAAAGGGTAAAAACCATAGCAATAGCTAATGTTTACTGAGTCCTTATTATGTGCCAAGTGTTGTGCTAATACTACTATATTCCATCTTAACCGTTTTAAGTATAGTTCAGTAGTGTTAATTAGGTACATTAACATGTTTGTGCAGCCAATCTCCGAAATCCTTCATCTTGCCAAACTGAAATTCTGTATGCCATAAACAACGACTCCCCATGTTCCCCTCCCTGAACCCTGGCAGCCACGGCTCTGCTCTCTGTGAATTTGATGGCTCTTGGTATCTCCTGTGAATGGGATATGCGGTACTTGTCCTTGTGGCTGGCTTATTTCAGTAGCTTAATGAAGGTTCACCCATGTCCCGGGGCATGTGTTCGAGTTTCCTTCCTAATTTTTAAGGCCGATTGTATTCCATTGTCTGTACATGTCACATTTTGTTTTTCTACTCATTCGTCGATGGACACTTGGGTTGCTTCTGGCTTTCGGCTGCTGTGACTGATGCTGCTGTGAACTTGGGTGTATGCATATTTCTCCAAGAACTTGCTTTCAGTTCTTCTGGATATATATGCAGAAGTGGGATTGCTGGGTCATATGGTAGTTTTTATTTTTATCTTTATTGTTTTGGTAGTTTTTATCTTTAATATTTTGAGGAACCACCATACTGTGTCCACTGTGGCTGCACCGTTATACATACTCAGTAAGAGTGCGTAAGAGTTTCAGTTACTCCACATCCTTGCCAACAATGATTATTTTCTGTGTGTTTTTTTCAAAGATTTTATTTATTTATTTTTAAATGGGGTGGGGGAGGGAGAGAGAGAGGGAGAGAAACATCAGTGTGTGGTTGCCTCTTGCATGTCCCACACCAGGGAACCTGGCCCGCAACCCGGGCTTGTGCCCTGACTGGGCATTGAAGCAGTGACCCTTTGCTTTGCAGGCTGGCACTCAGTCCACCCAGCCACATCAGCCGGGGCTCTGTGTGTTTTTTTAATAGCCATCCATCCTAATGGGTATGAGGTGGTATCTCACTATGGTTTTGATTTGAATTCCCCAATGATTAAATCTTTTTCTGATGGGCGTCTTTTCATGGGCTTACTGGTCATTTATATATCTCCTTTGGAGAAACAGCTAGTCAAGTCCTTTGCCCATTAAAAAGATTTTTTTTTTGGTTGAGTTGTATGAGTTCTTTATGTATTCTGTATATTAACTTTTTATCAGATACAGATTTGCAAATATTTTCTCCTGTCCATTAGGCTGCCTTTGTGTTCTTCAGTCCTCACGGCACCATTCTTACCTGGATCTTACAGATGAGGAAGCTGAAGTATAGAGAAGGTCAGGAATCAGGGACTTTCAGTAGCCTGGCCCTGGCTGCATGGTTGCTACGGGCAGAGCAGGGATTCAGACTCGCGCCAAGTGCCTCCAGAGTCTGCGCTTGTCACCACCATGTCTTCTCAGCTAATGTCTGGGCCAGCTGTAAGAAAATGAGTCACCTTGGTTTCTGCAGTTAGCCTCTGTGGAGGCCTCCTTTAAGAAGCAGGTTGAGCCCTGACTGGTGTGGCTCACCTGGGTGGGCGTCGTCCCGCAAAGCAGAAGGTCGCCAGTTTGATTCCTGCTCAGGGCTCGTGCCTGGGTTGTGGGGTTTGGTCCTTGGGGCACGTGTGAGGCAACTGACTGCTGCTTCTCCCTCACACTGATGTGTCTCTTCCTCTCTTTCTCCCTCCCTTCCCCTCTCTCTTTCTAAAAGTAAATAAAATCTTAAAAAAAGAATTAGATTGATCTACATTTTTTAAAAAAGTAGTTCATCCTCGTTATTTACAAATTCCATATTTGTAAGTTTGCCCATTTGCTAAATTTTATCCACGATCCCAAAATCCATACTCATAGTGTTTTGAGGGCCATTTTCATGGTCATGCGCAGACTGGCAAAATCTGGGCCACCTGATGCACACTCCCCAGCTGATACGAAACAGCGACTCTGTCGCCTTGTTTCAGCTCTCAGACTGTAAGCAAATATCCTTTCCGCGGCCTCTTTAGCACCATGCTTGTTTGCATTTTTGGTGATTTTGCTATGCAAAATGCAAAATTAAATGCCATGCTGAAGTATTGTCTAATGTTCTTAAGTGTAAGAATGCTGTGATGAAGGTACCTTATGGAGAAAATGCATGGAAGCTTCATTCAAATGAGTTTTAGTGTTTTTGGCCATTGAGTTCAATGTTGACGAGTCAACAATAAAGTGGCTTTAAGCAGAAACACACACGCACAAAAGTTACGTGTTCAATGGTTGGTGAAAATGTTGTGACTGGAGGCTCGAGGCCACCTGGCACTGTATTTCCCCAGGACCAGTGGTTCCGTATTTGCTAATTCAGTGTTTGTCGTGTGACTTTATGGAACAAAACTTTGAATAGGGAGAATTGACTGCGTTTTCTACTATCATTTAAATCACTGCAGCAGGAAGGAAAGCCTCATTTCTGTTCCGTTGACTCTCATAGCATCCCAGGGTATGTGACGTTGTGTTGTGATTCAGAAGGTCCAGTGGGCGTTCCCATGCACCCTGTCAGGAACTCAGTGGTGGGAGTGGTGGGTACACCCTCCCTCTAGATGAGGAGTCAAAGCACAGAGAGGTGGTGTGGGGTGCCTGTGGACACATGGGTAGTGAGTGGTGTAAATGGGCCTGCGACCCAGTTTTCCTGCTTCTTTTTTTTGGTGTGAGTTTCCTTTTTCATCTTGCCTTTCCACAGTTAGAACCGGGAAAGGGAGTGAGTGCTTTCTGGGCACCTGTCCCATGCGAGTTCCAGTGTTAGGCGTTTGAAGCATTTGATCTCGTCCGCCCTTCTCTGCAACTCAGTGCAACAGCAGATGCTGCAGTCTTTCCCGTGACCAGACTGGAGGGAAGTCAGGTGTTTTGCTAAGGAACTACGTGCTAACTAGTGATGGTAGAATTAGAATCTTGATCCTCCCAGGAAAATTTTTTTTTTGTCACTTCGTGCAGTTGTCTACTGAATCTCCCAGAAGGGAGGACTGGCCCAACACACACGTATAATTTCTTAGCCTGGCTTGCCAACGTCCTTGCGAAACATCTGATTAATGCTTCCACCTGTTTGGGTTTGTGTTTCACATAGGTCCACAAAAATACAAGAAATTAAAGTTAATGCAGCACTGGTTTTGTCAAAGTTGTCCAGATTTCATTTGCTATGCCTTAAGAGAGAATTAATTCATAATTCATGTTGTGAAGAGGTTTTTTTTTGTGTGTGTGAAGTGGACTTTTTTAAAATTATAAACACACTTCTTTTTCTTTTTAGAGTGAACAAAAATGTCCTTGTTTAAAGCCCGTGATTGGTGGTCTACTGTTCTGGGAGAAAAAGAGGAATTTGATCAAGGCTGTTTGTGTCTGGCTGATGTTGACAATACTAGAAATGGACAAGGTGAGTAACTTATGGCCACACATCTTGGAGCAAAGCGTTACATGGATAAAACAAAAGCAACTTCCCTTTAAAATATGTACTTTATAGAGCCTAGGTGAACTGTCATAATTATGCACTAATTTTATTTTTTTAAATTATTTTTTAAAGATTTTATTTATTTATTTTTAGAGAAAGGGGGAGAGAGAAGGAGAGGGAGAGAAACATCAATGTGTGGTTGCCTCTCGTGTGCCCCCTAGTGGGGACCTGCCCCACACCCCAGGCGTGTGCCCTGACTGGGAATGAAACTGGAGACCCTTTGGTTTGCAGGCCAGTGCTCAGTCCACTGAGCCACACCAGCCAGGGCTTAAAAAGAATACTTATCACAGTATGGTTGTTCCTTTGTTCGGTGTGGCTAAGTATTGTCCCCTAACATTTTTCTTCACTCTGTTTTTCTTGCCTGTAATGAAAACAGTGAATCTGGGGGACAAGGTGAGAGGAGAAGATTACGTTGCCAAGGAAGAGCGGGGGCACTAAAGTGCAGTGGGCACCTGCCCAGTTGTGTCTAAGGACAGTCGGGCCCCTGTCCTCTCAGTGATAGGAGATGGGAAGGCCTGTTCAGCGGGTCTCCTGGGAGGGCCTTCAAAGATTGCCAACCCTGCCTCCTGCCCAACTCTCTGAAAGCTCCGTGATTTCCCTATTATTTGGCAACGTAAAAGAGGCACCCCATGAAAACACCTGCCAGAGAGAGCAATGTCAAAGCCGTTTCTGCCCAAACGATCTCATGCCCCTGTGGGTTGTAAACTGTACTTCCTGACTGTCATACCGCGGGTGACACCCCTGGATGACATACTGTGCACTCATCGTTTCCCTCAGGGCTCCTCACTGGGGGCCCCCCGTGGGTTCCCAATATGCTGGCATGTTGCTTCCCCCTGATTCGTGGACCCGCTGTGAGCTGCTTCGTCTGTTCACGCAAGCCTGCTGTACACGTTGTCCTGTGTGTGTCCCACACAGAAATAAACCACCGATCTTTGTCACTCAGAGCCTGGACCACTGTGTGTCATAGTGTCCTGGGGTGCTTGTTGTGTATGGAGACTTCCCGTTCCAGATGTACAGGACCCTAGAGGAGCATGCTCTCTGGGGGTCGGTGGACCAGAGGGGAGCTTAGGTGTCTGCACTTTGGACAAGCTCTCAAGTTGAGTGGTGGCATGCTAAAGTCTACGTATCATTATCACTGATCTCACGGAGGGGAAGGTTAATGGGAGAAGAAGTGTGGGACATGCTCTGTTTGAGGAAGCAATGTCGAGCAGGCAGGGCAGAGGGAGGGAGCAGTGTGCTGGTCGTCGTGTCTGACACTGTGAGAACGGGTGAGGTGCAGGGCGACAAGGTGGGCTAAGAGGGCGGGAACCTCAGCACCATGACCCGGAGAGTTAGCGCATTAAAGTGGGGGGGAGGGGGTGGGGGCTGGGAAGGGTGGGCAGTGATGGATTCCTAGAAGGGCGCAGGGCTGGGACCTGGGAGGCGAGGTTTGGTGGCATGAAGACTAAAGGGGTTCCATGCCATTCAGCAGGGAGTGGTTCATCACTGCCCTTGGGTAGGGTGGATGAGGGGGCACAACAGTAGCAAAGTCAGATCTTCACTGAGTGAGGGAGTGGGAGGGTGGGAAGACCGAGTGTTTATAGCCCTTTAAAGAAACTGAGGGGTGCAGGGAGGGGGAGAAGGGGGGATGGTTGGGGGCAATGTCGGGTGAAGAAGGTGGACAGAACTCAGCGGGTCACATAGAGGACATAGTTGGTAAAGCTGGCACCCAGAGAAGACGGTCCGAGACGGGGTCCGGTGTGCTGATGGAAGGGGTAAGCTGACACAGGCCCGAGGGCCCTTTCACTGTGGCCCAAGGCGGGAAGGTCAGGGTGAAAACAGAGGAGGAAGGGGAGTTTGCTGTCAGGCTGGGAAGCTGAGGCAGGCATGCCAGCTGACCCTTCCTTTGAAGAGGTCCGAGAGGGAAGGGATTCTGATAGGCATCCTGATACTGTTTTAGGTGAAGCTGACTCAATACACATAAGGATCCCTCGCTCACCTTGAGATCCTCGTTGAAATTAGACACTGGGCGTTTAAAGTGGTGCCCGCTCTCCTCCGGTTCTTCTCAGTTCAAGACTCAGACCCTCGAGCCAGATAACGGGAGTGGGGGTGAGAGGGAGAACCTGACTGGTCCGGGTGGGGTTCCGCGCCCACCTGTGGCCCCGAGGGAGAGTTCAACACAAGGGTCACTAGAACGCACGTGAGGCTGACCGAAAAGCGTGTGGCTCCTCCGTTTACCTGTCAGCTGCTCAGCCTTCAGGCCGGCCTCCTTCGGGCACCTGTCCCTGGCACCGCTGCACCTGCACGTGGGCGTCCCCTCTGCGGCGGGGACGGCAGGTGCACCCGCTGCCTCGGGGGCACTTTCAGGGAGCGCTGGCCCTTCAAGACCAGCGTGTCTGGGTGCTCCCCCTTTCCCTTGTCATTCAGCCATGGCCGCGGTCCAGTCTCTGCCGCCTCCAGACTAAGTGGTGCGTCCATCTGTGCTCACAGCCTGTGTGTAGTTGAGAAGAAGAAGAGAAGGAAACATTTAAAAATGTGAGGATGATGGAGAAGTAGGAGAAATTGTATGGCAACCTGAAGAAGTCATGTTGGGGGCTCCCTTCTCTTTTGCGACTGGTCAGCTGGCAGTGTGATCCTGCTACTACGTTTTCTTCCTGACTTGCTGGCCGTCTGTCTGGTTGGTGTTGGCAGGGCCAGGCCCCCTGGGACGCCTCTAGGACCCTTCTGTGCCTCTGGCAGCTGCTGAGAGCCCGGGTCTTCTTTGGCTGGTAGATGTTTCACTCCACGCCCTGCCTGCGTTGTCCCTCCATTGTCACTTGATCTTCATGTATGTCCGTGTCCTCGCATGGCACTCTCCTCCCTGGCTCCGTTTTCTCATCTGATGAGGATGCTGATAGAGTGCTATCACACCTGATCAAATGGGACCTCATCTTAATTCAGTTACATCTGCAAAGACCCTGTTTCCAAATAAAGTTACAGGTACTTGGGGCTAGGACTTCAGCCTATCTTTCTGGGGACACCTGCTGGAGGTAGAGTCCTCTGGTTGATGGTGAGACCTAGGAATCCCTTTTTTTTTTAAATAAGAATTTTACTTATTTATTTTTTAGAGAGGGGGAGGAAGGGAGAAGGAGAGAAGCATTGATGTGAGAGAGAAACGTCGATGGGCTGCCTCTTGCATGCACCCTAACCAGGGGCCTGGCCCATAACCCTGGCATGTGCCCTGACCGGGAATCAAACCAGTACCTTTTTGCTTTGTGGAATGATACTCAACCAACTGAGCTACACAGGTCAGGGTGTCAGAATCCTTTTTAATACAGTGTTTCCAGTAGCTGCAACTAGCTGTAGAGTTGACATTCTGATTAAATCAGTTTACAGCCTTATACCAATCCTTTGATAAAACAACTTGCTTTGACCAAGTTAAATTATGACTACTGATAACCAAATTGAGGCTTAGGAAAAAATGTGATATGTTAATATATTTGACTGTTGGTAAGTATAAAGCTACTTTTGAAAAGCTGTATATTATTGAATAAGCTCACTTTGATGACATGTTCTGTTGGTAGATCGGGCTTTGTATATAAAGCAAGACTCAATTCTTTCAATTTTTTTTAATCTTTATTTTTTTTAGAAGTTTTTCTCTCTTTTTTTTTTTTAAAGATTTATTTATTTTTAGAGAGGGAAGGGAGGGAAAAAGAGAGAGAGAGAGAGAGAAACATGAATGTGCGGTTGCTGGGGGCTGTGGCCTGCAACCCTGGCATGCGCCCTGGCTGGGAATCGAACCTGCGATACTTTGGTTTGCAGCCCGTACTCAATCCACTGAGCTATACCAGCCAGGGCCAATTCTTTTAATTCTTAGATTTGTTTTTTAACATTAAAAAGTTTATTTCCAAAGAAATGTTGTTGCTGTTTATTTCTTCCTAATTCTTTTTAAAAAAAATCTCTCCTCAGATAAAATAATTGTGGGTAGCTTTATGGGATACCTGCGAATCTTTAACCCCCACCCTGTGAAAACCGGAGATGGGGCTCAAGCTGAAGATTTGCTTCTAGAAGTTCATCTACAAGATCCAATACTGCAAGTGGAAGTAGGAAAATTTGTTTCGTAAGTACAGCCCACAAGTTCGGGTATTTTATTTTACTTGGAATATATCAGTCCCTTACTGTGTCACATTTAAGGATTCTTTAAAGAAGAAAAGACTATCCATGAACTTAATATATTTTCTGGATATTGTCACCTAGGTGTTCCTCATTTACTGAATTCTCTTTAATGTGGAAACCTGTACATTTAAGGTCAAATCATTTAGGACAGTTTTTGTAGTGACAGACCTAAGATTCCTGGTGGATCAGAAACTTAAAAGAGATAAGCTTTTGAAAATAACCAAATAAACAAATAGAAAGTATTCATTTAAAACACTAAATGTCCAGTTTATATAAGTATCTCTTTAAATAATTAGACAAAGTAACAGTTATGCTATTTGGCACATAGCTTTGAAGCTTTAAAACGAATTATGTGTTTGGGGTAGAGAGGTCCTTAGATCAACCTGCAAAATTAAGTCTTCCCTTACAAGGGCTTCATTTTAGAAAACTGTTTATTAGTTCACATTCTGTTTAATATGAGCGCTTTTTATTTACTGATGATAGTGCTGATTTCGTCTTATTTTCATACATGAATTTTCTTAAAACGAGTCTGTATTTCTTTTTTTTTTAAATTAAGTCTGTTGGGTAACGTTGGTTAATGATAACATTACATCAGTTTCAAGTGTACATTTCTGTGATATATCATCTGTGTATTGCACTGTATGCTCAGCACCCAAAAAGTCCAGCCTCCTTCTGTCACCATGTATGTCACCCCCTTTACTCTCTTTACTCTCCACCCTACCCTTTCCCTCTGGCAACCTTTTATGATTTCGTTTCGTTTGTGCCTTTGCTGCTTTCTGTTTTATGTCCCACATACGCGAGAAAGCGTATGGTTCTTGTCCTTTCCTGTCCGATTTTGCTTAGCGTGATACCCTCAGGATCCATCCATGTTGTTGAAAATGGCAGTATTTTATCCTTAAGCCTGTGTTTCTTAATCATTTATGAAAGTATCCCTTGTGAAAAGTTACGTAGGCAGTGGTGGTCTTGTTTTCTCTGCCTCTTCTTTCTGACCCCGTTTTGCCTTCTCAGGTCGGGGAGTGCCCTGAACTCTGGATTTTGGCTCACTCCATTCGCTTGTCATAATAATTAAAAATTACTTATTGATTGATGTTTTAGAGAGCTTGAGAGGAAAGGACGGAGGGAGGGAAAGAGAGAGAGAGAGAGAAACATTGATTTGTTGTTCCGTCCATCTATGCGTTCATTGGTTGTTTCCTGTAAGTGCCCTGACCGGGGATCAGACGCATAACCTCGGTGCATCAGGATGCTGCTCCAACCACCTGAGCTACCCAGCCAGGGCTGCTCATCACGATTTATTGGCCCCAGCTTCCATTTCTTCAGGGCCCTGAGTCCTGCTGAAAAACCTGACTGTTCCCCCTCTTTTCCTGCTGTGTCTCATTTTGAGGGAAGCAGCTTCATGGCCGTGCTCGCCTAGGGCTTTCACACACTGTGACAGGGTGCAGGGGGAGATGCTGTGACCGGCGTGGCTGGTAAACACCTACTCCGTCTAAAAGCTGATGGTGATGAGGTGCCCCTGGTGTACTTCTCTCCTATGGTACGGGATGGGTTTATACCATAAGGGGATGAAAGGATTCCTGCCTCTAAAAAGCATGTTTGCCTTTCTGTTTTTTTTTTCAAAAAGTGAAGTGCTGTGACAGCTATTCTGCCCAGTGGCCTGGTGTGTGGCCTCCGTCGCTGTGATCACTTGTGGGAAGGGAGGAGGTCAGCCGTAGGGAGTGGGTTCTGTATAGGCACTAGTGAACTAGCCCCGTCTCCTGCTCTGCCTTTGGAGGTGAGGCAGCTCGCCGGAGCTCAGGCTTCAGGTCACACGGCTGGGGTTCAGACCCAGATCTGCTTGCCTGACTCCATGCTTTACTGGCCCCTCGCGATGTCTTTTCCTGTGCGTGACGGAAAAATTATGTGGAGTGTTCAGGGCACATATAAGAAATTTTGAAGGCAATATTGGTTATTTGATCATTGTGTATATTTGCATTTTCTGATAGTACAGTGAGTGGTATTTGTATATTCATTGTGACAGTGTTTTGCAGGTGTTGTCTAGTATAATCCTTGTTTTCTAAATGAGAGACTAGCCTTCCGAAAGATCGAGTGATCACACAAATATCAAGCTGCAGAGTCAGCGCCCTAACCAGGACTTCGGATTTCAACGATAGTCCCTGTCCTTCAGAACAGAATCTCTAGGACGCAGATCATACACTGAGGCCTGCTTGCAGATGTGTCTGAAACTGAAGAGACTTGCCAGCATTTGAGAGCCACGAGGAGATCTTGCTCCGCAGTGTATGATGTCAGTGTGGCTCAAATAAACTCACTTATATGTATATGCAGTTGAGCCAGGAGATGTCACATTCTGGCTTTTCTTGAAGAAAAAAAAATGTGGAGACGTGGCCACAAGCCCGGACCTGAGTAGTAGTGGCCTGCGTTAGCCTGGCCCCAGCCGCAGTGGGTCCCAGCCACTGATACCCCTTTCTCATTTATACGTACTTGCTTGATCCTCGAAGACTTGGGAGTTCGGATTTCTAGACCCTGCCTTCCTTGTCTCTCGAAACCACTCAAGAGGGGCAGGGCGGCAGAGTGGTGACAGTGGTCAAACTGAAATACTTTTAGTGCCTCTCATTATGTTCAGAACTGGAAGTGATACACGCCATTTAAAATCATCACTGTTATTTAATAATGATTAGCGTTTTGTGGTGCTTTGCACTTTGCAAGGTGCTTTCTCATGATTTCATTTCATGCAATTGAAAACCCTTATTTTTATTTTCCAGGAGGGGAAACAGGTTTGGAGAGCTTAGGTGATGTGCTGAATGTCACAGGTTAATGAGCTGGAGAGGCAGGGCCTGCCGGGAGAGCCCTCTTGAAGGGGCCTCTAGGCACCTCCTCCGGGGGGTTCCCTGGGCTTCCGTTTGAAGGCAGCTCCGTAGCCCAGCTCCTGAGCCTCCGGGACTGTCAGACTGGCTGTTGGCTACCTCTGTTTTCCAGCTTGGAATGTCATCTAGTGAACTGTTTAGGTCACTCATGGTAGACCGTGGTGATAATCTCTTGTAAAAATTATTGAGTAATTTTTTGGTTATGTCTGAAACTAATATTTAAATTTTTAAAACTTTCTCCATTTTTCAGAGGTACTGAAATGCTTCATTTGGCTGTGCTGCATTCTAGAAAACTTTGTGTCTACTCTGTCTCAGGTAAGAAACATATTTTTCTGATGTCAAATTTCTATTAAAAATTGGCTTTTTATTTATTTTTTTATTTATTAAATATATTTTATTGATTATGCTATTACAGTTGTTCCAATTTTTACCTTTTGTGTCCCTCTGCCCAGTACTCCCATTCCTTCTAGCAATCTGCACCCTGCCCCCTGCCTTACTTAGTTCATGGGTCATGCATATAACTTCTTTGGCTACTCCATTTCCTATACTGTTCTTAACATCGCCCTGTCTATTTTATACCTACCAATTTGTAGTTCTTAATTCCTATGCCTTTCCCTGATTCACCCCCATTCCCCTTCCAGCTGATAACCTTCCAAATGATTTTCATATCTATGGTTCTGTTCCTGTTCTGGTGGTTTGCTTAGTTTGTTTTTTTATTTTTATTTTAAAAATGATTTTATTTATTTAATTGTAGAAAGAGGGGAAGGGAGTTAGAAAGAGAGGGAGAGAAACAACAATGTGTGAGAGGTACATCGGTCGGTTGCCTCTTGAACGCCCCCAGCCGGGAACCTAGCCCACAACTCAGGCATGTGCCCTGACAGGGAATTAATCGAACCAGTGACCTTTCGGTTTGCAGGCCTGCACTCAGTGATCCACTGAGCCACGCCAGCCAGGGCACTTAGTTTGTTTTTTAGATTCAGTTGTTGATAGTTGTGAATTTGTTGCCTTTTGAATGTTCATAGTTTTGGTCTTCTTTTTCTTATATAGTTCCCTTTAACATTTCATATAATAAGGTCTTGGTGATGATGAATTCCTTTAACTTGACCTTGTCTGGGAAGCACTTTATCTGCCCTTCCATTCTAAATGATAGCTTTACTAGATAGAATAATCTAGGTTGTAGGTCCTTGCTTTTCATCACTTCTTGACAGTCCCTTCTAGCCTGCAGAGTTTCTTTTGAGAGGTCAGCTGACAGTCTTATGGGAATTCCTTGTAGGTAACTTGCTGCTTTTAAGATTCTCTCTTTATCTTTAATCTTTGGCACTTTAATTATGATGTGTCTTGGTGTGGTCCTCTTTGGGTCCAACTTGTTTGGAATTTTCTATGCTTTCTGGACTTGTATGTCTATTTCCTTCACCAAATTAGGGAAGTTTATCCTGCTCTCCCTCCCCTTCCTTCCTCCCTTCCTTCCTCCCTCCCTTCCTCTCTTCCTCCCTCTCTTCCTTCCTTCCTTCAAGGGTTTTTATTTTTACTTTCCCAAGGGAGGGAAAGGGCTAGGTATGGGGGGATACACCAGCCAGGGAAGTGTTCTTTCATTACTTTTTCAATTAAGTTTTCAATTTCTTGTTCTTCTTCTGGCACCCCTATGATTCAGATGTTAGTACGTTTGGAGATGTCCCAGAGGCTCCTTAGTTGATCCTCATTTTTTTTGAAGTCTTTTTTTTTTCTTCTTGCTGTTTTGATTGAATGCTTTTTTTCTTCCTTATGGCGCAGATTGTTGATTTGATTTTTGGCTTCATCCCCTCCACTGTGGGTTCCCTGTAGACTTTTCTTTATTTCACTTAATGCAACCTTCATTTCTGCCTGGGTCTTTTTTATACTGTTGAAGTACCCAATGAGTTCTTTGAGCATCCTAATAGCCTGTGTTTTTGAACTCTGCATCTGGTAGGCTGCTTATCTGTATTTTGTTTTGTTCTTTTTCTGGAGTTTTGTTCTGTTTTGTTTTTTTCCCCCCCATTTGGGCCATATTTCTCTGTCTCCTCAATTTGGCAGCCTCCCTGTATGTTTCTGTGTATTAGGTAGAGGTGCTTTGACTCCCTGACTTATCAGCGTGGCCTATTATAGAAAAGCTCACCTGTAAATTGTGTGGGGCAGAGCTGTGGGTAATCATCAAGACAGAGCAACCTGTTTCACCGCCTCATGGCTCTGTGTGGGCGAGGACTCAGTAAGGGGATAATGCCACTGCCTGGCTTCTGGAAGTTAGCCCGGGAGGAAGCTGTCTCCCGGCACTCACCCTGTTGCCAGTCACTTCACTTTCGCCCCCTATGCCACTGGTGCCCTTCCAGCTGTTGCCCTGGTGCTGAATCCCAGCGGGGGTCAGTCTGCATAAGTCCTGAGACCTTTGTGGGCCTTTTAAGAGCAGCCTCCTGAGAATCCTAGAGTTTCTTCTGCTGCCCCAAACCCCACTGGTTTTTACAGCCAGAAGTTGTAGGGACTTACCTTTCTGGCACTGGAACCCTGGGCTTGTTCACCTGGCCTGGGCCTGGGATCCCTCGCTCCTGAGATATCCCTCCTGATTTTTATCTGCCACACATGAATGTGAGACCTCCTGTTCAGTCGCCTCTCCACCCCACCCTGTGTCTCCATGCCTCTCCGCCTCTCCATGTGTCCCCATGTCTCCGCCCCTCCTACCTGCCTGGATGAATGTGGCTTCTTTAACTCTTTGGTTGTTAGACTTCCATACCGCTTGATTTTCTGATAAATCTGGGTGATATTTGTCTGTAGTCTAGTTGTAGTTTTTACTGCAGTTGTGTAAGGAGGCGAAGCGTGTTTACCTACACCTCTATCTTCACCAGAAGTCTGGGCTTTTGAACATTGTGAAGGAATAGATATTCTCTAATGCTGACTTGGTGGAGAACACCAGACATTCGGTTGAAGGTTTTCTTATTTTTTATTTTTTAAAGATTTTATTTATTTTTAGAGATAGGGGAAGGAGAAAGAGGGAGAGAAACACCGATCAGTTCCTTCTTGCATGCCCCTAACCAGGGACCTGGCCTGCAACCCAGGCATGTGCCCTGACTGGGAATTGAACCAGAGAACTTTCAGTTCATAGGCTGGCTCTCAGCGTACTGAGCCACACCAGTCATGCCAAGGTTTTGCTATCTTGGTTAGAATTTTCCCTTTGTTCATTTGTTCTCTTGGGTGCTTAGGCTGTTATATTTTCTTGGTCTGCTATTTCCCTGCATAGTTAAAATTCTCATAGAGGGTTCCTTGTAATCCCCTTTCTCTCAAGGATCGCATCCAGGATTGCTCTAATAGGGGCTATTTCTGGGTATTTAGGACTCTTCAGTCTTAAGGAATATTCAATAGCAGTAACAAATTCATTAGGGGCTGAGTCATAGTGGTTCAAAGTACATTTTCTTTGGTGAACCTCAAGTCCTTTTTCTTTACAGTTCCGACTTCTTGGCCTCTGGTTTTCTTCACTCAACCCGACCTCAGGGCAGTTATCTGATGCTTATTTGGGTTTCATTCTCAACACTGCTCTCTGGGTGCAAGAATGCTAGTTAAATGTGGAATAGTTTCAGCATTTTGGCCTTTATTAAATATAAAAGGTAACTTAAAAAACTTTGTTTCTGTTATTAGATAAATTTTAGTTCAAGTTGAGAGAGCTATTTTTATGGATATCAATATTGGGAAGTGTTTTTATGGGTACTATAATAAAGTCAAAGTCTGGGGGCCTATTCCTTATCCAAATAATATGCATCTTTGGAGTTTGCTGTAAATGTAAGCTTTTTAGGATTTGTGTTTCTCACACTCATTCTCTTGATTTGAGCTTTCCTCATATTTTTCTTTCATTTCAAATACCGATTTGTTTTCCCCATCTCTGAGCTGGATGTTGTTAGGCAGTCTCTTTCTGGGGTGAAGGTCTTTTGGGTCCCTAAGGCAGGCTCAGTATCTGGCACGTGGTATGTGGTAGGCACACTTGTTGAATGAATGAGTGAACTAGCTTCCAGGTAGTGCTGAGGCAATTGGTCTTGGCTCATTATGATTCTCTTCATGTTACTTTCTCCCTTCCTTTTTTTTTCTCTGTTACCCCTATTATTTCCTTTTCCACTCTTTTTTCATCAGGGGCCTGGATAGTACCTCTCATGGTCACTGTGGAACATTCTCATTGGTTCCAGGGTAAAAGATGTTGCTCCTCCTGGTGGAGGGCAAATACTGAGTGTTGCAGAGTCAGCGGGAAGGTATGGTATAGGCCACTCCATTGCATGAATGCCGTTGTTCTTCTGTTTTCCACTGTAAACCTGCTGACTGCTAGGACTCCTATTAACTTCGTTACACGGACCACGGAAGAGGAAGCCTTGGCCACGGTCACCCCTGAAGACTTCTTAGAGAGTTGATTCCTTCTGGGAGCCCCGTGGCAGCTCCGAGAGGGCAGGGGAGGGAAGCATGCTGAAAACTAGAAATGGGGTTAGACTCGTGGCCTTCCCTTTGGTGGCCAAGGTGGCCCCCTTCGGCGGGTGGGTGTCTGAAGACAGGGGCCTTTAGAGCTGCACTCAGGCACGCAGGGCACAGTCGGGGGCAAGATGTGTACGTTTATTAAAGAAGCCCACGGAAAGAAACTGGCACGTTTGCTCAGAACTTGTGCATGGGACACGTGGGTCCTCCTGCAAATCAGTGTTGAAAATGAGAGTTTCTCGTCACCAGGACGGTGACTTTTATCGCTCTTCTGTGCGTGGCGTTTGCTCACAAGCCGTGTGTTCTGCGGGGATGAAGAGGCGTCTAGACTTAGACTGCCTTCCCTTACGCCCGCCTCGCTTCCCCTCTCCGTCTCCTTTCGGCAGCCTCTTACAATATTTGTAGTCTGACCACTTGTATATTTTTCCTGGCTTGGCTTAAATCCACAAGCAGGGAAGTTCATGTTTTTGTTCTTGAAAAATGTTTCTTGAAGTTCCTGCTGAACTTTTACCTAGCTTTTACCGTAACAGGGGATGCATAAACATTCTCTAGTTTAAGGGAAACCACTGGTGTCTGCAGATGCAAGTGTTGCTGAACTTGACATCCTTACCCTCAAGTGTCCCTCCCCAATTATCTTCTGTCTTTTTTTTATGCCCTGTGTGTGGCCAAAAAAGATCTGAAGCAAACTAGAGGAGGCCTCCTGGACACACCAGACACCCCTCAGTAGTCAGAGGCTACTGTGCCGACTTGGTTTTGGTGGGTGAGTGTCGTCAGCGGTGCGCTTACTCTGGGCAGCCAGCAGGCCCCCGCTGGCCTGTAGGTAGCCCACCTTACTGGACTCAGGGAGAGAAAGCATCACGTGTCATCTGAGGCTCCTGTGGGATGGGCTTCAGCTTCTGAGTAAGTGGTTACAGATGCGTGAGCATAAGCCATACTGATTATGTCCTCTTAAATATTCTTTCCCAAAACTTGTGTACTTCTCAACAAGCATTTACTATAAGCATTAGACATATTTATGGAATTTTAATGTTTGCCACAAGAGGGCAAAAACATGTGGTTCCTTACTTTTGACAGACTTATATAATCTAATTTGGTTATTTAACACAATGAACCTTTTAACTTACTCTTTAAAGGTTTTTATTTTATTTAACATCATTAGATTTTTCAACAGTTATTTCAGATGGCTCCAAAAACTGTTGTCAGGGTGACTTTTGATTTCTCATAGGATTATTAAAGATTTAAATCAGATTCTGTTTATATAGGGTCAAACAGCACAAATATAATAACATCCATTTACTTTCTAACTGAGGAAACTTTACAATAGCTTTAGCTATATGCAGACTGTAATTATGGGTATGTACTTACTATATTCAGTCTGTGTCTCCAAGGGCAAAACCTGTATAAGTAATTTCAATTGTTTGTCATTGGAACTTCTCTAGAAAAAAAATGGCCAGAGGTTTCAGGTTTTCAGACACCACTTTTGTTATAAGATGGTAGCTATGGCCAGATTGCTAAGAAAACTAAGTTTTTAAGTACTGTCACCTGACATGTGGACGTTTTCCAATATAAGCGGCGTGCTGTCAGGACACAGGCCCCAGTGTCACGGCAGGGCCACTTTGTGTCGTGTCCCCGCTCAGCCCCAGGTTTGCCGACCCTTCAGCTGGTGGGTGTGTGCGAGCTCCTTCCTTCCTCAGAGGGTGTGATCTGCTTTTGGGTGAAGAATGAGATTTGTAACTTCTGTAGGGACAAACCAAATGTTTCTTGGAACTTCTTTTTCTTAGGTTAATGCCAGGAGTTATTTGGTGGGTGGCTCCCCGCACCCCCGACCCCACGTGGCTCGTGTGGTGGTCATTCTTCCTCAGTCGTTGCCGTACGGGTTTCACTGCCGTTTGCACCCCGGAAAGTTTTCATCTCCTATCAGGGTTAGCTGGAAAATTTGAGTCTTTCTCTCTTTTTTTATTTTATTGGCATGCAAAGCCTATTATTACCATTTTCAAGGGCATAGATCTGAGTAGAAGTGATTCTACCCCAAGAAGTCCTCCTCTGGTAGTTTTTCTCTTTCAACCCTCCTCCACCTTCCAAATGAGTAAGAAAGGCCAGGCTGGGAAAGGAGGAGGTGGAAGCGACACTCTTCATGCCATTCTCCTTCGGGACACTGTCATCGGCTCACCAAGTTCCCTGGGAGTGGCTCAGTGAGGGACAACCAGGTACCAGGATGTCTGGTTCTGGATCTAAAGACCTAGTTCGAGTACTGGGCCCTTTACCAGCTGCGTGATTTGGGGAGAAATTTCTTAATTTTTTTTTAAATCCTCACCTGAGGACATGCTTACTGTTTTCAGAGGAAGGAAGGGAGGGAGAGAGAGGGACAGAAACATTGATGTGAGAGAGAAACAGATGCTGCTCTTTTGCACCTTATGCCCTGGCTGGGGATTGAACCTGCAGCCTTTTGGGTTAAGGGACGATGCTCCAATCAACTGAGCCACACTAGCCAGGAGTTAAATTTTTTTTGAATGTACGGTGCCTCAATTCTAAAATGGAAAGAGACATATTTGTATTCTTACAACCTCAGGGAATGTTGGTCAGTCCTTCTGGACAAAAAGCAAATGCTCATGTGTACATACATGTCTGTCTGTATGTGTGTACACACACCATCTATATTTAGGTTGTTTTAGTGATCTAATACTGTATAGTTTGGGGACTGTTTTATTGGCTTTTTGATATATTAAGTTTTTTTCTTTAACTTTTACATTTTTGAATGAGTGAGAAAGATGTGTCTTCATGGAAAAGCTGTATTCTTAATCAGTTTTCTTTTGAGCACCTCTTTTAACCCTGATCATTTCCAGCTGATCTCTGGGATACAGCTTCAACTATAAGTACTCTAGAAAGGCCAATAAACAGAGTAAAATATGGATAAATAATCTTTTCTTATTTGGAAAGAACTAGAAAGTGTTTATAACACATATGATTTGTTAAATGCAGAGAAAGCATCCTCCTTTGTTTTGAAGGAGATTTTTCTTGTCAGACTTAAAATAAAACATCATTGTCCTATTTACTTGCTGAGGGAAGCTTTAGAAAAATCTTTCCATTAAATTAGAATATAATGCATTAGGGCTTGAGTATTTTGCAAATTGGGACAGAAAATTGAATTGCTTGCAAGTGTGGGCAATTTTTTCCTTAGATACTTTGAGTCATATCCTTGCTCTGTTATTGCTTGTAAGTGCAAGGAACTTAATCTCATTTATTTCAGAACTGAAATTGGAAGGTTTTGTTGTTATTTAAATAATTGCATGTTCCTAATACATAATGAAAATAGATAACAAAGTGTTACCCAGGGTGTATTTCATCTAGTGATATAATCTAGCTGGGCAGAAATTGTTTTAACTGTGCCGGTGTTCTTTGTCCTCAGTATGGTGATTGTTTATGATTGTTCATAATGCACAATGTTTCAGTGTTTGGCCATTTAAATTTTTTTGAAATTCAATTACTTGGAATTGGTGTGGAGGTTGAGAAGAAATTAATATTTTTTAGTGTGAAGAAATACAAAGCAATAAAAGGATTTCTTTTTCTCCGTAGGAACCTTGGGTAATGTGGAGCATGGGAACCAATATCAGATCAAATTGATGTATGAACATAACCTTCAGAGAACGGCCTGCAATATGACTTATGGGTCATTTGGTGGTGTAAAAGGTAATTTGCATTTATTCGTGAATGCGTTATTGCCAGTACCAGGTTTAGAATACAGCAGGTCCTCAAATAATAACATCATTTCGTTCAATGTGGTTTAGTTGTAACGTTGATGAAATGTCGTAGACATTTAACTTTTGTTTCTGTCAGCCTCTGGTGAAACTGGTCCCATTATGTGTTGTCTCACTTACAGCTGAAGAACCTATCTGTGATGTTAAGTGAGAATGTATTTGGCCATATAGAAATGGATGATTATGTGGTATGAATCTCAGAAAGAGTTAAACATGTTTTACCAAAAGCTTTATATTCACATACCCAGGCAAAATAATAAGGAAAAACTTTACACATGAATGTGTTTGATTTTTCTTATAACCAGCATTTTTATGTGGTCTACGGAGACATTTCTAAAACTGACTTTTCTTCAGAGTCTGTCTTTTATTCGTGGGCCGGTGGAAATGGAGCTTTCTTGTGGTGGAGCTGTGTGCCTGCCTCTTGGTGGAAAAAGGAGTCGATCTCACTGAAGGGGGTCCCTGCTCCGCCTGCGCTAGTGCAGCCGGCCTGCCAAACCCTCTCTCCGCCCTCCCGTCTCCAGAGCCATCTGCACAAGGGCTCCAGGACCGGGGGCCAGGAGAGACTGAAATGCAGGCCTGATCCTCCTCTCAAGCCATGCGCCCCCAGAGGAAGGGTGCCTTTTCTGAATGTCACAGAGCCATCACCTTTACCAAGACCAGCTCAGTGCAGCTGGGTTCCTCTCACCTTGGGGGTAAATGTTTCTATTAGCACAAGGGCTACCTGCAGTGCCGGCGCCCTAGTCCCAGGGCCTCAGGGTGCCTGCAGTTTGGTGCTTGCTTCCGGGCACCAGTGCTGTTGCTGCCGGAGGGTCTTTGTGTGGAAGCGAACGCCTTTCGCTCCTCCGCGACAGCGTCATCTAGCTGTTGGCGCTCACTGGAGGACCAGCAGCCCACTGGTGACGCACACATGTGTGACTTTGTGTGGCCCCTGCAGAACGTGCAACTAGGGATTTCAGAACACATTCACCCTTTTCTGGCTGCTGTTTGTATGAGTTGATTAGCCATTGAATTAAAAAGTAGACTAGCTATTTAGATTTTTCTTCAGTGACAGGAAAAAACAACGTTATTTTGGAAGTATCTTTCATTCCTGTGAATTCAGGTTTTTTAGAAGATTTTGCTTATTTATTTTTAGAGAGAGGGGAAGGGAGGGAGAAAGAGAAGGAGAGAAGCATCAATGTGTGGTTGTCTCTCACACGACTCCCACTGGAGACCTGGCCTTTGATTCCCAGGCATGTGCCTTGACTGGGAATTGAGCCGGCGACCCTTTGGTTGGCAGGCCTGCACTCAATCCACTGAGCCATACCACCCAGGGCCCGTGAATTCAGTTTTGTCTTACCTAGAGGTGACTGTAAGGAATGGGTGAACTTGAGCACACCAGTTAGCAGTTGGGGGTGTTTTGGGTGGTAATGTGCAAAGAAACCATTTGAGTAATTAACATGAAACGATACAAAACCCTGGGCTGGAATGTGTAATTGCTGAACTTGAGTAACAGGAATTCTTTGAGAAATATGGGCGAAGTCTAGGGTTAGGTGAATAGAGGACAGAAGGAGCTAAAACGTGATGAGAGGCTACCTGCTGTCAGTGAAGTGTCCCCCGCCAGCCGCAGCTGCTGGAGCTGATTTTCACTGTTCTTTAAAAAAATGTCTGACATGATTGGGAGACCTAGGCCTTCCTCATTTAATTGACATTTTCAATTCTTTTTTTGCCTACAAAATTCCCAAAAGCCAAATTGCTAAATTCTGTATATCTGAAGTCCAAAAATTAAGACAGGAGAAAAAAGTGCTTTAGGTAAGTGGAAATAAGCATTTTTTTGGTAGCATCACAACAATTCTTTAGATCACATGTTAAGTGTCATCTTTTATAGGTTGCACTGTCCTTTTAATTTTATTATCAGGTAATAAAGTTTTAAACTAATCAAAGAAAAATAAATTCTTTGATTTTTGTGTGACATTTTTGCTGGATATAATAATGGACTTCCAAAGTGATAGAATCGCTGTTTTGAAAAGAACAGATAACTTTGTATTTATATGATATGTTCTCTTAGTTCTTAAATTATGCCTTACATTTCAGAAGTACCTTCAGAAGAAACAAGAGGATATTCTGACATGTTTTACTTTCCTGTGGTTGAGCAGAATAGTACAGATTGAAACAGAGAAATAGCTGAATAGCAGAAGGAATTTTTTCATTTCATGAGTTTGAAACACTTATCATTGAGGCATCTACAAGAAAACACGAAAAATTGTGGGGTGGTAAATTAGTAAAAATTAGACATATTGGGGAGGTTCCTGAGGGTATGAGGGGTTACTGCTATTGGGTTTCTTTTTGGGACAATGAAAATGTTCCAAAATTAGGTTATGGTGACAGTTGCATAGTTTTGTCAATATTACTAAAAATTATTGAGTTATATTCTTAAAAGGGTGGTATGTAAATGACATCTCAATCAAACTTAAAAAAATTAGCCATGGGGTAAACCTAATGCTGGAGAGGTTATGGTGGTCTCTGTCCTACATTGTTCATGGCCATGTAAAATGATACAACATTCTTATAAGGCAGCTGGGCTATTAAGAGCCATGAAAATGTTCTTGGGTGCAGAAATGTGACGCGCGGGAATGCACGTGAGGAAGTAATCCAAAATGTGGGACAGTCACATCAGGTTGTCTTGTGTTAATTTATTCTTCACTCTTTCTATCCTCCCTTCTTTCCTTTTGTAGCTACCTATGTGCATTTACTTGTAGACAATTAGAAGTGATTAAATTGTGTAATGGAGGAGAATGACTAAGTTTTGATGCATTGATTCAGTGGGTTATTGTGAAGCTATGAAGATTAAGTTTTGTTTGCTTGAATGAACATCTTCAAACATAATCTTTGTCTGCCTTTCTGACTATTTCATTAGGATAGACTGTAGGAATAGAGTTACTCACTCAGAAGGTCATAAATTTTTTCCCCCTCAATTTGGAAGATCAAATACTATATAAATAAATTGTAAAAAGTACAGAATTTAGAAAGCAGAAAATAAAAGTCACTCCAAGATATACATATGCCAAAAGAAAGCCCATTTTCTAAGCCTGTCTCTAGTGTTTTCTTTTTCTTTATTTTTTTAAAAAGGTTTTATTTATTTATTTTTAGAGAGAGGGGAAGGAAGGGAGAAAGAGAGGGAGAGAGACATCGATGTGCAAGAGATAGATCCATTCGTTGCCTCTTGCGGGTCCTCAACTGGGGACCCAGCCCACAACCCAGGCCTGTGCCCTGGTTGGGAATCGAAATGGCCACCTTTTGTTTTACAGGCTGGTGCTCAATCTGCTGAGCCACACCAGTCAGGGCTCTAGTGTTGTTTGAATGTGTATTTTTCTAGGTGCGAGCAGATCATTCTCTCGCAGTCCAATGGTTTGGCGTCTTTGCGTCACACTGGAAGAAGAGTTGTCTTGGGCCACACATTAAATACATTGTGCCACGTCATCACAAAATAATCGCATCATGTTTAAGGTAAATTTACGACTTTGTGTTGGGCCGCATCATAGCCATCCTGGGCTGCACACGGCCCACGGGCTGCAGGTTGGACACCCCTGGGTGAAAACTCCCCTACACTTCATCTGGGCTTTAAAGAGGACGATAAAAAAACCCCTTGCCTTTTACCTTCCTTGGTATTTATGACGGCTTCTTGTGGAGTTATTAAGTTGGGGGTAACTATGTTAGCAGTCCTCAAGAAAGGAATTCAGTAAAAAGGAAACCTGGCTGTATTGTAAACCAATGGAAGGCAGTGGAGTTTTCGGTGAGTGCATCAGAATGAACCACCACTAGATGGCAGTCCTCTACAGCCTTGGGCCTCTGTCGATACTGCTTTTGTAGGGTATGGTTAGGAATCAAAAATGGAGGAATTTTGATCCCAGCTAATACTTTGCCTTTTACTAAAAATAAATGCACTTGATCCAACTTGCAAAAAAGTAATGGAGTGGTTTTTTTTTAAATTAATTATAGTAGGCAATGCCTGAATATAATGTTAAAATGCATTTAGGTAGGCTTTTTAAAAATTTTATTTTAGTATTATTATCATTATATTATTTTATAAGAGAAAGTTTACTTAGAAGGCCACAGAGGCAGAAGGAGCGAGCCAGCCGGGCTGCGCAGGCTGAGAAACAAGTCACAGAGGCAGAAGAAGGCCCTTGGGGCTTAGGAGAGAGGAAGGCAAAGGCAGCACACCTGGGGAGGGAGGCAGGGGGAGGGTTCCCATCAGAGCACAATGGGCTCTTGATAAAAATGCAGCTTCAGCCCTGACCTGCACGGCTCAGTTGGCTGAGCTTCTACCAGCAAAGGAAAGGTTGCCGGTTCGATTTCCGCTCCAGTGGGTCAAGGCTCATGCCTGGGTGGTGGGGCAGGTCCCGTTTCGACTCCCATGCGAGAGACAACCAACCCATGTTTTTCTCTCACATTGATGTTTTCCTCCCTCTCATCCTCCCTTCCCCTCTTCCTAAAACTAAATAAATAAACTCTTTAAAAATGCAGGTTCTGATTCTGTAAGTCTGAAACTGTACCCGAGAGCCTGAATTTCTGACCATCTCCCAGGCGATGCCAAATCTCGGGCTCTAGACTGATGCTATCCAGCCCTGCGCCAACCAAGTGCATATCACCTGCCTGCCAGCGCTCCCAGTGCTTTACAGGTTGAGTAACTTACTCAGATATGCTTCGTGAGGGGCAGCGGAGGGATTCTAATCCAGACTCTGCCTCCAGAAGCTTATGCTGTTAATCATACTGAACTGCTTCCCTTTCTGGGCTGTGAGCAAATTTACCCTCTTCCTAATGCAGAAGCAAACTGTCCCATTACAAAGGGGTGTGCTTTGGTTTGGTCACAGTTAGTGCCTGACTTTGATTCTTTGTGGATTGTGGAACACATGTTGAATAAGCTTTTTGGAAAAGTGCCCTCCTCCAACAATCAGA